TTGGAGACTTTATGAAGCTGGCAAGATATAAAACAAGAAAATTTCTTGAAGGGTAAGAAGAGAGAGCTTGTTGGATGGAATGGGAAAAGGGAGCTGGGAAGATGAGAATATCCATTGCTGTAACCCAGAACACTGGCTTAAAGCAGGTGCTTTGAGCGACCAGGAGCTCTCAACCTGAGGACTGTACGGAGGACCAGGGCATTAAAGTACCACTAGAGAAGAGATGGCGAATGGGAGTTAATGAGATTGTATATGGCAGTGCAAATAGCCCCTGTGTGTCTCAACATCCGTGTGATGTATTTGATTTTTCCCAGTGAACTGTGGGCTCTGGGACAAAAAAAATGGTAGGAAAAGGAAAGAGAGAGCAATGCAAACCGAGCAGTTTCCGTGCACCCCCGGACCCTATGCCCGCGTGTTACATGAAGCCCTCACCAACACGCATGAATTGTGTTATCACTTTATGCATGAAGAAACCGAATCAACTTAGAGAAAGTGGACCAAGAAGACACTGCAAATTACCCAAGTTTGGCTGACACCCAGCCCATGTTTCTTTTACTATGTCATACTTCTCTCTGGGAAGAAAATAAAAGCTCATTTTTTCCCCTGTGAGGAAGAATATACAATTAATTCTTGAGGGACAAGACATAGAAATGTCTTAGACTGACTCAACATTCTTGTTAAGGGTTTAGAAAGAGAAAGAGTCGAAACTAACATTTGGCTGCATTGGATAGCTCCCAACTGCCTGAGAGAGATGAGCCCCACCAGCACAGAGGATGGTATCAACAAACCTTGTAATTAGTGACATTTAGCAGGTATTTACATGCTTCTTGTAGGAAGGTTATGTCCCAACTTGGTGTAGGTCACATTCCAGATCTCTGCTCCTGTGATATTACAAGCTTTCATTGTCAACAAGATTCAGATGATTTACCTAAAGAGGTGAACTAATGAACCAGATAAAGCAGGCAGTGTGTCTCAAACAGGTTATTTGGCTTTACCAAGTCATTACATTTTGAATCACTTGGTTTACTTTTTGCCTTCAATTTTATAACTTATGAATGTAAAATATAAGATTTGGGGCCCTTTAAGAAAATTTAAGGGGCACCTGGGTGGTTCAGTCGGTTAAACGTCTGCCTTCAGCTCCCAGGGTCCCGGGATCGAGCCCTGCATTTCTGCATGTTGTATAGCCATTAAGTTTCACAGTTTTTATGCTTTTGTCTTTTAAATTCTACACAAGAATTAAAAGTGGATTTACACATGAAAATTGCAATAATACAGTGTTCTGTATTTGCCCATGTATTTACTTTTACCAGAGAACTGCATACTTTCACATGGCTTTGTGTTATAGCCTAGTGTCCTTTCATTTCAACTTGAAGTAATTCCTTTAGCATTTCTTGTAGGCCAGCCCCAGTGGTGAACTCCCTCTGTTATGTTTATCTGGGAAAGTCTGTCTCTTCTCAATTTTTGAATTATAGTTTTCCTGGGCACAACATCCTTGGCTGGCTGTATTTTCTTTTATTAACTTTTTAAAAAAGATTTTATGTATGTATGTATGTATGTATTTAAGAGAGAGAAAGAAAGAGAGCACAAGCAGGGGGAGCAGCAGATGGAGAAGCAGGAGCCCCATTGAGCAGGGAACCCAACGCGGGGCTCGATCCCAGGACCCTGGGATCATGACCTGAGCCAAAGGCAGATGCTTAACTGACTGAGCCACCCAGGTGCCCCTTGGCTGTCTGTATTTTAAAATATTTTTGATATATATCTAATTTTTGATATCCATTTAATACATTAACTTATGATTTGGAGTATGTAACTAGGTACTTACTTTAATTACGTACTGTGATTGTGTATTAATTGTGAACACACTGGCAATTAAGAGCAGTATCCCCCAGCTGCTGTGCATGTTGTGTTCTTGTGTCTACTCTTTATAAAGTTTATGCCTGGTCCCTTGCCCCCTTGTTTGCCAACTGTGCCTTCTCACTGACCCCACATGAGTATGTCTGCATTCTCAGCATTGGGTTTAGACTAAGAATGAGATAGCTGAGTGTTGTGATCGTTTAAAACACAGTGTTGAAAGGAGGGGATTCTCCTTTGAGCAACACAGGTGAGAGTGAGCACATGGGCTTCCTGGTGCTTGTTTTCACTGCGTTGGAGGTGCAGGTCTTTGGGCATGGGTCATCAGGAGTGTCGCTCTGTGGTTCAAGTTCCTGAACTTTACTCCTGGGACTATAATTATATCCCTTACAATTTTATAAACCAATGAATTCCAGAAGTTTTGAAATGGTAGAATTTGTTTTTGTTTTCTTTTTAAATCATGATTCTTCTTGGGGAGCCTGGGTGGCTCAGTCAGTTAAGCATCTGACTCTTGATTTTGGCTCAGGTCATGATCTCAGGGTCATGAGATTGAGCCCGCGGTTGGCTCCACACTGAGTGTGGAGCCTGCTTAAGATCCTCCCTCCCTCTCTCTCTCTGCTCCTCCCCCCAACTCGTGTGCACTCTCTCTTTAAACAAACAAACAAATAAATAAATGATTCCTCGGTAACTACTTGCCTCTATTCTTGAAAATAACATGTACCTGCTCTTTCTCTATTCTAGAACTTTCTTTTGCTCTCAGAAGTAGACATTCTTATATTTAATAATCACTGATGGTCTACATCCTACATACTGTGCTCTTATTAAATAGATTGAGAATATGCTATGTCTTACCTTTCTTTCTTGATCTGGGGAATAGAAAGTAAATCCTTATACTTTTCTTCTCCCTACTATCACTGGTAGAAATGGAGTCCTTTCCCTTACCAAGTGATTTTTCAACTTGACTATTTTGTTTTTTCCTCTCCTTTAAGGCTTATAAAATAGAACCAGCACTAAGCAATGGATTCAGGTGTCCTTGGAAGTTTGTGAACCCCCTGCTTACTCATTCATGCCTCACAGCAACCCCTTCCTTCTACAAATAAGGAAAAAGAGACACAGAGGGGTGCTAAAAACTAAAAACAAAAATGATCTACAATTCAGATAACAAGCACCAAGCCAGTGAGAGCCTATGTTTGTCTGAGTAGACTGACAACCAAGTTTCAACATATAAGAAACCGAACAAGAGGAAATGTAGTTACTTATTTTAAAAATGGTAGTTTATTAAGCATTAATAATATGTACACCAATAGTAAATATTTATGCCACTTGGGGCAACATTTAGAGAAATAAAGTACCTTTGCTACAAGTTGGCACTCTTCCTGCCTAATATCAATTGTGAATAATCATAGCCTAATCCAACCTGATCTTTTCTACCAGCCCCAGGTAGAACCTCATCCTGAGATCGTTTTCTCCTAGTGTCAGATCAGCTCACTGCAGATTCAAAGCTCTAACTGTCCCTGAGAATCAGCAAACTATCCACTGTCAGCATTTTTGACATTAAATGCACTGGTACCTTAAGCTGTTTTTGTTTGTTTGTTTCTCTGGTAAGACCTACCTTGAGCCATCCATTCCCTAGTCCTTCTAACTCTGGCTGTATTTGTAGTTCTGCAGTCTCACTCCCAAATGCTTTTGAAAGCATATTGTAGTAGTAATAATAATATTAAACAGCAGAATAGCCACAGCTCTGCTCTGTTGACCTCTGCTGCCTGTGACTACATATGAAAGCTCCACCAGACAGAGTCTGGTGTATTATGTTCATCGCTGTGTGCCCAGCACATACCAGGAGCCCAGTGAATGGTTTCCATTCAGATGTTTCCCAGATTGAGCTCTTCCATCTCCCCCAAGCTGATAATTGAAATGTACCTATAATTGATTAGTGAACAAATTCTGCAGATATACTATTTAATAATTTCATTCTATGAAATCATCTGGTATAATAACTGGTTCATATTAAGTTATTGCATACTTAATAATCTCAGTGACAACCTTGCATATTTCCAAGTTTCTGAAATAAAATTGGTAAGGTCTGAGCTCTCACTCTTTAGTGAACTAGTTTTGTGGCCAAGGGCAAAATCATATCTTTCAGAATCAGTTTCCCTATCTACAAAGGGAGACTATGCATAACAACCCCATAGGGCTGATAGGAAGAGCATATTGATCACTTGCTCATGACTCCACAACCCATTAAGTACCCAAGGTAGGATTCAAAGTTGGCTTCTCTGGCTCCATTTTAAGCATTTTATGACTCTGAAATCCTGTGAGACCATCCAGGAAGTTCCTGAGGAAGAGTGGGCCTGAGGCGAGAAGGTAAAGAGGGGTTTATCAGGGAAGTTAAATCAGAAAAGAGCTTTCCAGAGTGAGCTTGGCTATGTCCATGGCTGGCCAGGTTGAAGGCTGTAAACTTGTCCTCATTAGCAACACAGAACAACTCAGAAAACTGGCCACAGATCAGTTCATTATTTGAGGTCACGCACGTGAGTGTGGAAAATTGAGGAGTACAGAGTAAAGATGTGATTATCCTAACATAAAATAAGTCTCTTTCATTAACATTTGCTATTTGTTGGACATTAGTCCTAAAAAAATGTTTAACAATGAAATTAGAATCTCTTCTTGAACAGGCTTAAAGTACACCTACTAACAAGGCATGGAATGCATTAAAGGGGGAATGGTAATGATTGTGCTAGTATTAGCGAAGCAGGAAAGAAATCTTTTCTTATACACATCATTTTCAAAAGCTTCTAAGGGAAAACCAAACCCAAATGCCTCTTTCACAGTATTTACATGAAGAGTGCAGAGTCAGAAATATTTTCGTTCAAAAATGATTATTTTCTAAAAAGTCTATCGAAATAAATTAAGTATGTTTGCCGAGGTACAAATTAAGCCATGATTTTCATTTAGAACGATGAGAAAACTCAAGAGCAGGATAGCACAATTTCAACTCTTCTCCTAGTTCATGTATTTACATGCTGGAGCAGTGACTGTATTCCTCTTTCAATGTCACACAAGAGGGATGGGAAGGAAAAGACAATGGAGATCATGTGCACAGTTTGTTACCATCTTTCCTCTCTTACGTCTTCTCTTCTTTCTTGCAGTTCCACCTTTTATTCAACCTTTTGAGTTTCCAAGATTCTCCATTGGACAGCGGGTCTTTATCCCATGTGTTGTGGTCTCAGGGGACTTGCCCATCACGATCACTTGGCAGAAGGATGGCCGGCCAATCCCAGCGAGCCTCGGGGTGACCATCGACAACATTGACTTCACGAGCTCCTTACGGATTTCCAATCTCTCCCTCATGCACAATGGGAATTACACCTGCATCGCCCGGAATGAGGCCGCAGCAGTGGAGCACCAAAGCCAGCTGATTGTGAGAGGTAAAGACAGGGACATAAGATGCGCAGCATCGATGCAGTCAGATTCAACAGTGTTCACAGAGAGTGTTCGCTTGAAATAATATGAAAAGAATTAGAATTCATAGAATTTGCTGTGATTCCATTAAAATAAAACCCACAACTATAGAAACCAACCACAAACTCCACTAACACCAAACCAAGGTTTTATTTACCTAAAATATGAAGCTCCAAATAATTAGCAGCTAAGAAAGGTGTGTAGAAAGAGGTGGGAGTAGGGTTTAATGAATGAACTAGGCTTTTCCTACATTGGCCACAAAAGTCCATGAGCTCCTGCTGTATTGTATTTACTCTATATAGCACTATTTATAATATTATTATTTGGGGGAGGGGTTCCTTTTTTAAAATTCAATTAATTAACATATAGTGTATTCTTAGTTTCAGAGGTAGAGTCCAGTGATTCATCAGTTGCATATGACACCCTGTACTCAAGTTTGTGCACAGAAGTGGGCATAATTATAACAGCAGAAGGAAGCAACCCAAACAGTAACACTAATTCTGTGGAGTATATAATGGGTAAAAGGAGTGTGCTAGGCTCAGAACATCTCCAACAAGCACATCAAAGAACAATACATACAGCATGAGTCTGGTTAGTAAAAGAAACAAACCCGAGAAAAATACAATATTATTTTTTAGAATGATGGCTTTAAAAATGTCAAATATTTTTTGTCAGATCACACTTTTCCTAAAGATTCATAAAATAGTCATTTCTTATTTTTTTATTATTTGTTTTAGTGAAGTACAGTTGACACATAGCAAATAGTAGCTTCTTGTATTTTTTTTTTTGTTTTAGTTTTAGAAATGTGTAGTTTCAGTTTAGAAATACGTTTTGCTCCTCCCTTCTGTTTAGCATTAGACCTCTCATTAATTTAGGAAGCTATAACAGCATTTATTAAATTAAACGAAGTGGGATTATATGTATTTAGAAATTATAATAGAGTGGTCTAGCTTGTAGAAAATATTGGCAGGGGACTCAATGCATCTAAAATGTAAGCATTTGTCTTGTTTCAAATCTGTATTCTAGTCACCAAATTCCCATGAAGGCTCTACTCCTCATCTGCAAAATGAGCAGCTAGGATTCTGTAAAGTCTGTTGGGCACAGACATGTGAGTTTATGATTCCCCAAGAGCTTTATGCATTCATGTCCTAGTATAGTTCTTACCTGCATTGCAAAAGTAACTATATGAAATTAGAGACTTAGCTTAATGTTGATTATTTGCATTTTAAAATCTCCAAATATTGGGCTCTCAGAGTAATTGTTGGGAGAGGTTGATTTCCATTATTTTCCAGATAGTTGACAGATCTGAGCAGATTCTTTCTTGAGCAAAAGATTCCTATGTCCTTCCTTAGTCTTTGGACCTTGTCCTCATGACATCTTTCCTTCCTTTCTGGCTGAAGAGTAATGTACTTTCTATGTACTTCCCAACAAAAGAGACTGAATCTACTTAGAGTTTATATGAAGAAACCAAATTTATATTTGTAAAAAAAGATTTTCCCTGAGTAAGAAAATATATTTTCAGTCACATACGAACTAAAAATACAAGTGACAGTTTTTTCTCTTTCTACCTTGTGCTTTTGAGTATAAGAATAGGAACACATGAATTTATTTCTCATTTTTTGAAGATAAATAAAAATGGAAGCCAATGTGGTATCCATTTCCCAAATGTTTTCTTACACGAGGAACTGACTCTTACTATTATTTGTGAAGGGCAAAGCAGTACATCAGCCTGTCTCCTGAATAATCTGCTCTGAAAGATGCAAGTCAGAGAACAGAATGTTAGACAAAAGTGTGCATGCATGCTGTTTGCATCACTTGCCCTTGCAGGGGAGGTAACAGGATTTTTTTGACCAAGGGCAAAGGTCAGATGAACTGAAGTTGAGCCTAGCCATCTGAGATGATGTGGTTGATCACAATCTGATTAGTGGCTCCATGTGGTTGTTCTTCAAATATGTCAAATAAACTTCTGTGAAATTAACATCAAATCACCAATGAGATAAGATAATTCTGAGAAAGGGAATGTGCTTCACAAGCAGGTCAGTGGTTGGAGAAGTAGTCAAGGACAAGATGATGTGGGACAGTAATCCTCAATCTAGACATCTTAACAGATTTAAGAAAACACTGATAACTATTTTCTGGCCCTAGCTAAGCACAATTAAAACATAATCTGTGGGAGTAGATCCATCTTTCAGATCGCTGGGGTATTACTTTCTTCTCCCCCCCAAAAAATCACCTATTGGTGGTTCTCAAATTTTGTCACACATTAGAATTACATGGGAAGCTTTAAAATTCTTAATGTCTAGGTTGCAGCCCATACTAATTAAATAGCCATCTTTGGAGATGGGGCCCAGGCATCAGTAATTTGTAAAATCCCCAAGTTGACTTAGTATATAGCAAAGTCAAGTCCTAGAACTCTGGGTAATTTGAATATGCAGCTATTTTAGAAGCCTGGACTTTTTTCTAAATGTGAAGAGATGTCATTAGTGACTTTAACCAGGTCAGTGACATGGCCTGATTTATCTTTTTAATTATAACACTAGCAGTTGTTTGAAGAATGGACTGGTCCAGAAAGCAAGGATAGTCATTAAGAGTCTATTTTGGAAGTTCAGGTGAGATTAAAAGTGCCCTGAATGAAGGTGGCAATGGTTAAAGTAATGAGTAGGAGTTGAATTTGCAATATCTTTTGGAGGCAAAGCAAACAAAACATGTTTATAAAGTGAATGTTGCCAATGAGAGGAAGCACATGTTGCTTAATAAGGTAAATAGAAGTCTTTAACAAAAGTGGAGAAGAAACAAAGAGTGGCAGTGTGACATAGGAAACAATGATGAGGGAGGAACAAGAGGGTCCAGACCCAAGGCATTCCAGGATTTGAGGTTCCAGGAATCAGCAAAGGAAACAGAGAGGGAAAAGGAGAAGCCAGTGAAGTAAGAGGAAGTCCAGCAGACTGTGGGGTCCTGGACGCAAATTAGGAAATATATCAAGAAATGCAGGTAATACTGTATATAAAATCTCACTGGAAATAGAAAAAGGAAATCCAAGAATTGGTCATTGGGTTTAGGGAGATGGACATTGTTTATGACCATGAAGAGTTCTGTGGTTGCAGTGAATGTCTGATTAGCAGGGCTAGTGAATGGAAAGGGAGGTGAATAAATGTGTGGGAATTCAAGAAAATATGTATGATTATTTTCAGAAACATTGCTATGATGGGAGGCAGAAAAATGGAGAGGAAGTTGAAGAGAACATGGGACATGGGACAAGAGAAGCTTACATGCTGATGGGAATGAGTCAGAGAGGAAAGAAACATGTGCCACAGATAAAGAGGCATAATTACAGGATTATTCAGATATTTTCATGGAGAGGTAAAAGGGAAAAACAGTAAACAGTGCCTCACTGAACTTGGGAAAATGTCGAACTCCAGCATATACATAGTTAGAGTTTCAGAAAGAGGGGGAGGGAAAAATATATTTGAATAATAATGATTGGAAATTTTCCAAATATGAAGGAAAATATAAATCTACATATCAAAATGACCAATGAAACCCTCAAAAAATAAGGACAAAGAAAAACCATGCCATGGCACATTCTAATTGAATTGTTAAAAACTAATAACAAAATATTAAAAGTAACCAGAGAAATTTGACTTGTTACATCAAGAGGACCAAGTAGGAAAACTTTAGGCTACTCATCAGAAACAACTCAAGCCAGAACAGAATGGAACAGTATCTTTAAAGTGCTGAAAGGAGGGGGTGGAGGAACATTTGTCAATCTAGGATTCTATAACCAGCAAAATACACTCTTCAAAAATGGAGGCAAAATAAATACATTTTTAGACAAGTAAAGGTTTAGAGAATCACCAGCTAGATTTTACTACAGTAAATTTTAAAGAATGTTCTTGAAGCTAAAAGAAAACAATTCCATGTAAATTGATCTACAAGAGGAATGAAGATCTCTTGATATGATAAATTTATGACTAAAGATAAGATTCACCTTATTATCATTTTCATTTCCTTTAAAATATTTAGATGTTTTTGTTTAAACATAATAATTTATACCATGCAAAAATAAAACATACAATAATATCACAAATAACAGGAAGAAGGAAAGGGGAATTTTCCTGTTGTAAAATTTATCCTACATTATACATGAAGCGGTATAATATTATTTGAACATAGATGCTGCTAGCTAAATATGTCCAATGCAAACTCTTGAGCAATTATCAAAAATGAAACAAATGAGTATAGATATTAATCCAACAGAATAGATAAAAGAACATTAAAATATATTCAATTAGCTAGGGAAAAAAGCGGGAAAAGAGGGATAAAATACAAAGAAGAGATGGAAAATAGATGGAAAACTTAAATACAACTATATCAATACTTTCATTAGGTATAAATGGACTAAACATCCCGATAAAAAGCAAAGATTATCAACCTTAATTAAAAAGCAAGATTCAAGTACATGCTACCCCATGTTAAATATAAAGACATAAATAGTGAAAGATTAAATGGTATAAAACACCAATCATAAAAATCTTAATTGGATGTATTAATATTAAATAAAATAAATCTCAGGCTTTATTTAATTTTATATTTATTTAAATTAAATATTTATTTAATATTAAATAAAATAAATCTCAAGATAATGAATATTACTATAAGCAAATAAGGACATGTTAAAATAATAAAATGGTTAATTCATCAACAAGACATATAAATCTGAAATACAGATGCACCTAATAATAGAAATCCAAACACATGGTTACAAAATAGAACTGAAAGGAATAGCAGACAAATAAACAATGACAATTGGGAATTTCAAGACTCCTTTCTCAATAATTAATAGAATAAACAGAAAAAATCAGTAAGAATAGAGATTTAAGCTACACTATCACCCCATATAATCTAGTTGATATTTATAGATTATATCAAACAACTACAGAATGCACATTCTTGAATTCTGATCACC